CCCCAAAACCCCAAAACCCCAAAACCCCAAAACCCCAAAACCCCTTTATATTGATGCTAAATTGAAATGGAGGCACTAATAGAACAAAAATGGAGTTCAAAAGCTTCTTTTCTAGCTTACAAACTCAATATCATCCATCCAGTACAAATCCAAACACAATTTGCTTACAAATATGAAGAGTCAGAGTTCAAATGAAACAAGTGTTAACAAACTTTATTAGGCCAGGCGCTAATCCTGCTGTTCGTCATTCTCCCACGGCCGCCCACTCTCTGCTCTGGTTTAGTTGTTCAAGTAGCCTGGACACTTGTGGCAGTCGGACTGGCTAGTGGGGTCGTCCGAGTTACTGATGGTGATCTTCTCATCTTCTCTGGGGTCTCCGTCAGCTCCAGTCTTCTTGCTCGACCTGCTGCTTCCGCCTTCCGAATGTTGGTCCTATATTCGATAGTTAGGTGAATTTGTTAAATGCGCAAAAGTAAGCTACGCAAGTGCTGTACCTTGTTGGAGTTGGTCATTGAAGATCTATGGGCAGGACTCTCCATGACTTCTGCATTGGAATCGTGGGCGGGCTCAGAGTCTTCTTCGGTGAGCTTTGGCCTCTTTCTGTTTCTAAACTGTATTAGACACTCTGGCGTATGAGCATTCAGAAGCAACATTTCGAGGCAGAGCAAGAAACTCATGTGCAAACGAGAACGACGCTTTCTTAGTTTGATATGAGGGAACACAAAATTCTGAAATGGACTGGGATATTAGAAATGCTGAAAAGCGAGTAAACACACTTTCGCTACGAACAATCGAAATGAGTACCTGCCAGTGGGAGCTTTCCTTCTATTGGGTCTTCTACTCGGAGGAGCTCTTTCTTGGTTACATCTGTCAAACTCTTCTGCTGCTGATAATGCATAGAGTCATCCTTCGACGTGACTGGGGAGCGCCCACTGGTCAACTAAAACCGTTCATATGGGTCACTGAGCTATAGTACAATTAGAATCCAAAAAAAAGATGAATGGCTCAACTAGCAACACCATTGCCACCATCTCGGCAATAAAGAAATTCTCTGCAGAGTTTGGGAATTCAGCAAGAATACACTCTACCAGTAGAAACTATGAACAAGTTGGAGTAGAAGCATTGCAAAAGAGTACCTTTATGAATATTCCTGGACCTTCTTGCTGCAGCATTGCTAGCTTTTGGTTTATCTTCAATATCAGGCTCTTGCATAATTTGCTGATCTGATTCAACAATGAAATGTGTCTGTTGTTTCACCTCAGGAGATCCAATCTCATAGAGTTCATTATGCAGTCTTTCAAACGTCTATGAAGCATTAAATTTAGGCAAGATTATCTAAGATATTTTGGGAACTAAACATTTGGGATGTCACTAATGAACTAAATTTGTTTCTAAATGTTTTATTGACCAAAAAGAATTCCAATGGAAAAATGTATCTCAAATGTCGAGTTTACAGAATTCATCAGAGACTTATCAAATCTATTAAACTTTATTTAGTTTCGGTAAAATTCTGCCAATCAAGTAAAACGACTTTTGAGCTAAAAGAATAGAGCAGGTGAATTAATTTAAAGAAGAAGTTCAAAACTGTAAGGTCGATTTAAAACTTCACATTCCAAATTATATATTGCTCAACAAGAATGCGTAAACACGAAAAAAAATGTTATTGGACAAATAGTAGATGCTCTAATGATCTATAACGGCAATTCTTCAAATCAGGCTATACTTTTCTAGAAAGATGCCATAAATTTCATCCCAATTTGGCTCATAATAGCTATTAAAATGAATTTTTCAGAGAGTAATAATCGAACATCATAAAGGATCTCATATGAAATTTCTGAATGAATATAGCTGGGTACTATACTCGAGGTCCTATTATAATCGAGCAATAAAAGGGAGGGAGAGCTAGCTATTTTATACCTTTATCTAAACTATCGCCAGGTGCAGTCTATTGTACATTTCAATACTTACCCCAGAATCATCTGGATCATTTCAGATCAACTTAGGAAGAACTCTCACGTGTTCGGACTCCTTACGGCCAATTTGGAGATTTTTAAATTTGTCTATATAGAACCTTATAGAATCTGGTTTATAAGAAATTCATGAAAAATTTGTGATTGTGAATAGAACTCTTGACCAAGAATGAGGACATTTCGGCTAGTATTCATATATAAACTCCATTAGTGAGTGTGATACTAATCCTAAGACTATCGCTAAGCCACCGAATCATGCAAGTGACTTAGAATAGGACTTGAGGACTCTCACGATTCATGGAAACAAAAAATTTAGTTTGCACATGAAATGTATCGGCTTGGCAGTCCAAACTCAACTTACCTGAAACATCTTTGTAGTGCTGTAGAGAAGCCATTATATTCATTTTACGGGGATTAGTTTGCTTCCGACTTCTTATTTTTCGGTCTCTTCTGTAGGACTTATCTTGGATTCTATTAGTATCCGGCCACTTTGGGTCATGATAGCGACTCTCTTTGGACCCACTACAGCTCTGTATTTTATCTCCTTGCTCATATTTGTTACGATAACATTTGGATTGTATCATGATGCTAAAAATAATAATTTTAATACACAGACCAATTTTAAATTGATGACCAGGGGTTTTGGGGTTTTGGGGTTTTGGGGTTTTGGGG